AACTAGCATCACAGAGCAGCAAACTGAGTTTAAATGGATGTTTCCTTTTGCACTTTTTTTCTTGCGACAACAGGGCATGTTTGTTTTTTTCTTTGAGGGAAATTGTTTTTTTGAAGCTGTTGTTGGCCTGTGGAAAAATGTAATCATAAGAAATGACTCCAGTAAAGCTGCAGATAGAGCCATAAGAAATGAATGCAACTGATTATTTAATGTGTAATGTTGTTTTTATAGGCAATAATTTAAGCTTTGTTAGTTCCAGGTTTAATATGTACAATAAGTTCATTTCAATAAGTTTTGCAATAAACATTGAACCAGTCCGGCCTTCGACTAGTACCGATTTTTAAATTTTGTCCCACTGTGTATTTGAGTTTGACACCCCTGATATAACACATCATTTAGAACAACGTTTGGGTATCCAGGTTGGGTAAAACTGTATGGTGGGTAACTAATAGTCAAATCTTGAATAAATGAATCGGTTCTTTACTTTCTGCAAAAAAAATATAGAGGTTCTTTATTCGATGGATCCCAATTGGTGTAGTTGAAAAATATCTATAAGAAGTATAAAACTATGGTGAAATTTCAACTATTTATAAAGAAAACCAACAAAAATGTGTCTAAGCTTGATGGGAATGTCAACAGTTTTGCAGATATTTAGTCAATAACTAAAATATTGTGCATGGCAATTGATATCTATAACAAATATTGTGACAACCCAATAGTAGTTGGGGCATATTACATTAAAAATAATGTCCACCTCATGATGGAAATGTAAGACAAGTGATGGGATTACCAAAGCTATAATAAGACCACCAATGTCTACACAAAGACATTCATGGCAGTCCATCCAATAGTTGTGATATTTCAAGTGGTGTACGAACCGATTTACGTCATCATCCATAGACCTGAGCCACCATAGAGTGGTACAGTGATGGCGTATTTGTGTAGGCCGACCCGGAAGTAAGCTGCACATGGATTCCCTCGACAAAAAAGCAATGGGATTTCTCCATAGGATTTTGTAAAAATAGCTCTAAATAAGGTCTGTGGAAAACAGTTTGCAGGAGGCAGGTACTTGGCGTAATGACGTACAATGTCCTCGACAACTTCTGTAGTCCTATTCAGCCACTTGTTAACAACCATAGTTTTTCAGATACGTAAACTTTTCAAAAATCACCAGTGCGGTCACTGCTGATGTATTTAATGTCGTAGAACAAAACGTGATCCTTAAATTTGTGTCAACCACAGACCTTATTTCGAGCTATTTTCCAAAATCCTATGGAGTAATCCCATTGACTCTAAGATGAGGGAACCCTTAGTGGTAAAATGCTAACTCACTTCCGGGTTTTAGGACTCGTCACTGCACCACTCTATTGAAGCTAATCAAATCCTTTAAAAAAACACAGGATTAACACATGCTCTGTTGTTATCACCCCCCCCCCCCCCCCTTTAGGTGTGTGAATACTGCTGCAGTAAATTTGTGGCACATTACCATCAAGAGAAGAACACATCTTTTTGAAGTCTTAGCTTACCGCAATGGAGTCGACAGTGGAGTTGACAGTGGAGGAAAGAGTTGAAATGCTCAAGAAAATGCTATCATTGGAGTATTCGCCAAAAAAACCCAAGTCCCCAAAGATGCAACTATTCTCTTTTTTGGCGATGTTGAACGCATACGATCCTGAGGCCTACCTCCTGATGTCTGAGTGTCAACAGATCCTCGGACCACCTGATCCCATCCATGGCGGCCCCCCCTTTGAAAAACGAATGGAGCCTTTCATTGACTTTATCAACATATCCGGTCCGTCTGAACACAAATGTTCGATTTACCAAGTGTTCGCGAAGAGTGCTGTGAACGAACTAGCTGCCCTAGGTCTTTCCAGGAGTGCTACCATGGAGGAGTTCATGGTTTCACTTCTGTGGAGATCAGATTCAGCCACATATATTCCGGTTCATTAAAACATTGCTGACAACGAGAGAATTCAAAGAAGGGGATAAAGAGAAGTTCTCAAGGTTCATTTCAGACATACTGAAGAATGAGACATTTTACAAAGCTGTGCGTCTATTGAGAACCGCAGCTTATAAACTGTCAACTGACCCCCATTTTCCCCCAAACAATTTCTCGTCTCTTTTACATCATAGAGAGCAACATTGAATATAAAAAAGCTGAGGAGTGGGCTAATACTGCCATTAGAATAGATCCAAAGAAGTCTTATGTTGCTGACACTCTCGGGCAGGTTTATAAGAACCAATTATTCTGGGAAGCCCGGAAACCTGATGAAATCGTATGCAAGGCAAAAGAGGCCTTCCGAGCCTTTAAAGAAGTTGAGCTGAAAGCTGACAAAGAAGTGAGCCCAGACATGGTAGACTCAGCAGGTACTGAAAGCATTTCAGTTACCTTCAACAACAGAGGCTGCTTTGGCTTCATACAAGTGGCAAATATAGCCTTTGAGAAACTCAACAAGTTCAAACCCTCACTGGATTACAAATTCATCAAGGACAAGAAAATGGAAGTTGAAGCCAAGTTTGCCTTCTTCCAATGGTACCTCGCCTACTCTCAGCCTGACATGAAATCTTTGGAGCCATATTACGTCTGGAAGGATGTTGTTCTTTGTTACGAAATGTACACAACAAAAAAAGCAACTGAGTCCATCACCTTTGCAGGCCTCCTCGATAGTCTGAATCGAGGCCTTTTCACTTCTAAGGGAAGGCGCGCTTTGTTTGAGGAGCACCAGGAAACAGTGTCTCATTTGGAGGGAATCCAAGGCTTTTTGAAAGCCAACTACGAGGCAAACTTTGATGTCAAAGCAGCTGAGAGGTACATACTCTCCAACATCATCTTGAGCAACAAGATGCACAACTCTCCTATGCTCACCCCGGTGAATGAACTCCAAGCAATAATAGACCGATTCTTGGACACAGAAACACGTTGCGGAAGCCCTGAGTTTTACCTTTTGGTTCTGCTGTTGTTTTGGTCTGACGGACAACCCCGGGCGGTGCAGGAAGAGGAGGATGAAGAAGATGAACAACAGAGCACAGAGGATGACTTGTCGGAAGACACAACCCGGGAGGATGAGGCAAGCGATGAGGATCAAGAAACCAGAGAAGAGCCTGGACAACTTTCTCTTGACCGCTTATTTGACCCTAATCTGCAAGAGTATGTCACATTAATGGAGCAAGCTTTTGAGACAACCAGATATGCCAAGTACCTTCGAGGTCGGTACCTTTTGCCTCTCTTCTTTCTGGGGAAGGGCTCTGGACTTCGCAAATGGATTCACAAATCAAAGTTGGATGCAATTGTGGAAGAAAAAGTGGACGCTGAGCTATCTGATGAACAAGAGGAGAGAACGAAAGAGAAATGGAGGCGGATCCATGAAATGTGGATCACAGGGGATGTGTGGCGAATCCAAGAAATCCAAGACATCCTGAGCCCAATCAACGTGGAGTCATGCCAGTCTCCACTATCTCCAAAGGATCACAAGATGGTGTACGTTTTGGCTGGGGGGAAGAAAATAGAAGCTAAAACCAGAGTTGACCCTGATGATGATTCAGCGCTAGGCCCAATGCTTTTCTATCTTGGCTTCACCATCCAGGGTCCTCTCGTCTTCAGAGTGAGACATCCTCACATGTCTGGACAGTGATTGCATGAATGACCACTTTGGGACAACAAGATGAATGTCAGTTCCAAGTGTCATGGCCACCCATTCAGAAGTTGCTGAGATATGTCAGTCTGGACCAAAACGGTGGACTGACCAACATTGTTATCCTTAGAGCCTCCCTAATGTGTTTTACACAAGCGTTGCATTTGTGACAGAGAAGATACAAAAATCATGAAAAATAGGTCAAAAAAAATTCTGATGCAGTAAAGTTTAAATGATCAACTTTTTCAGACCATTGGTAAATCAACCATAGGTTTTGAGGTTGTATCATGTCCCACAAATGATTTTCCTTTAACAATTATTTTTGGTGAATTGGTAGAGATTCTCTCAAAATCAGATATTCATTCTTTGACTTGTTGATTTAACCATGATTGACCTTACTTTGACCTTATTAGTATCTTAACCATGTGGCTTCCATTTGAATAATGCTGGTAGTGTAATTGAATATAATGAGTATTGAGTCTGATTTCATATCAAAGGAATCTTTATTTTAATGTACTTTTTACAATTGTCAGGATTGGGGAATATAGGACCCAAATGCAGTAAAAGACAAACAATCTTACATTTTGTAATCTACAAGAAGAGACTATTGGCCATTTATTTTATGAATGCTTGTATTGTAGAATATTGTGGTATGATGTAGAATGTTTTATTCGGAAAAAGACGGGACAAAAGGTTCAACTCCAGGACAAAGACATTATTTTGTACTTCAGGGATGATAGTATGGTTGCAGATTTTGTCTTTTTTGTGCAGTTAATTGTATTTTTAGGGAAATTTCATATCCATAAAAAGAAATGGGCTGACTACAAACCATATTTTGTACATTTCTATTAAGAATGTAAACAATATATTAGCACTATTAAGAACATTAGGAATAAGAAGGCAATCAAAACTAATTTTGAAGTATCAAAATGTATTTTTCTTTCTTTTTTTCTTTATTTACTGTATGTAATGTCTTGTTGCTTTGTATTTCTGCCCATGGACTTTGTCTGTTGTACAGTATGTCAAATGTATGATGTTCATGTATGACAAAGATGAATAAAAAAAATATATATACAAAAAGAGTATTGTATTAAATACACAGAAGGGTCATCACAAGGTGAAACACAACAGGTGAACACAATGAGACAATCAGACACAGGAAGGAAGACCAGACACAGGGAGAACAGAATTTCACAAATAAAACCATGACCAAACACACAAAACTAAAATCATGACAACAATGTACTTTTCCAACACAGCCTACATGCATATTAAAATAGGAGACAGAATTGATTGTATTTGCAGTTCTTGTATTTTTTGAGTTATTGTTGCTAATTTATTATGTATTAAAGGAACATACAAATATCTTTGGAAATAATGAATGCATGTTTGTTGTTTTGGCAATATGTATTTACATATTAGAGTTTTGATAAAATAAGGCCTGTTTTAAAAACCGTGGTCAAGCAATAGTTAAAAAACACTAATAACCAGTGGTGGAAAGTAGTACAGTTACACACATTTACTATACTTAAGTACACATTCTAGTTACTTGTATTTTACCTGAGTATTTCCATATTATACTACTTTATACTTCTACTGTACTACATTTTGGAAGCCAAGTGTATACTACAGTGATGTGATGTGCCTTTTTCTGTGGTATTGCAATAATTGTTCATTAAAGTTGGAAAAAAATGTGTGTATGAAATATTTTACTAAAATAAACAAATTACTTATTCCAAATTCTGGTATTCCACCACTGGATAAAACAACAGCTTTCTCTGAAAATGTGACGCAACATTGATGTAACAGCGCCCTCTGCGGACACTCATTTCCGGTGAACATGGCATATCGGCGTAATTTCCGAGGCTCCCTGAACGCAGCCTTTTCACCGCATCAACCTGCCCAGTTATTATTAGCCGTTTAGTCCGTTTGTCTTTCATACAGGTGTGTTTCCACTCGTCCTTTTGTGTCAAATGCAGAAAACTCCAGATGAGAAACTAAATGGCCGGTGACTCACAACAGACCGGAATGTTTGTGGGAAACAAAAAACAACAAGCAACAACGGTGACATGTTAGCCTCAGTAGGACAGGTGCCTGTCGATATTTGAAACGTTAGCAGCATTGTTGTGCTACAGAAATCAGTGTTTCGGCTTCACGAAGACGACATAAAAGGACATCATTTATCAAGGTAAGAAGAGAATTTAACTGTCTCTATGTATAGGTTTGTTTTAGCTTATTGCACTCCCAGGAACTCAGCCAGTGTAGCTAACAAGTAGCAAATTAGCTAACGGTTGGTTGACCCCTTAACCTAGGTTAGTGTTAATGTAGCTAACGGTTGTGATCTGGGAAAACGTACTATAAATAACGACTTTCTAACAGCGTGTTAAGAGCAGGTTCACAGGCCTGCGTGAGGTGGAAGAAGTACTCTTGTACTTAAGCAAAAGTAGAAATACCACAGTGTAGGAATACTCTGTTATAAGTAAGAGTCCTGCTATCAAAATGTCCCTCATGAAAAAAGTAATTCTGCAAAGTAACTAAAGGTATTAAATAAGTGTAGTAAGTAAAAGTACACTATTTACATTTGAATTGCAGTGGAGTAGAAAAACAGTCCCTCAAAATTGTATTTAAGTACATGACTTCTATTTAGTTACTTTACACCGTGTTCATAGCAGATTCACAGTGTGTTAACCCTCAGGCTGACAAGTGGAAACACTGTTGACTAATTGGGATACAACTTTTTGACGGATGTCAACAACACGTGGCAGGTTTCTACTTTATCTCGAGGTCATAGCATTTAAACAGTCTGTTTTAAACACGCTTATCTGAGCCAGCAGGACAACAGACTTGTTTCAGAGGTTGTCTCAGAGCCTTACTGTAAGTTACAATGCATTTTACTTTCATTTTTACTTTTCTGTGGTGTGGTAAGTAAATCCGTTCACATGGACTCACACAAAGTTGATATAAGGCACAGTTTACCTGTTCACATTTAGACTGGATTGTGTTTTTAAACAGAAAATACAATGTAACCCCCTAAATGGTTTCTCTATCCTGAGCGATACAGTTGTTTGACAGGCTGTGTCCATGTGTAAAAAACATTTATATGTGAATGGCCATTTAAGGGTTAAATACATTGCCTTTGGTAATGTAAAATGATGGGTACTATTTTCTGATATTTTACTGTCTAAATGATCAATCTACAAATGTATGAAACAACCCACACATTAATCGATAAACACAATGATAGGTTTACCCTCAAACAATCCAAAATAACAAACTAAAGTTTATTTATGTTTTGTTTTGAAATCCTGTCAATTGAATGTTTAAAATGTTGATCAACATAGCTGTGAACTAAGTATTGAATGGTCTCCTTGGCTCAACACTTAATGTAAGGCAATTTGATGTATAATGAGCATTTCTCCTGTGCTGTTTCTTCTTAAACTTAAAGCAACCAGATACCTACAGAGGGTGGAGCTCCACATCAGGAAACCTGCCGCCTCCTCCCTCTCCCCCTCCACCTGTTCTGCCTCTCATCCTCTTCCCCCCACTTCCATCCCTCTCTCACCTGTCCTCACCTTCCACCTTATTATCTCCTATCCCCACAACTTCCTCTTTTCCCATCTCCATCCATCGCTGACATGGCGTCGGCTCAGTCGGAGCAGTCCAGCGTCCTGCAGGACGAGCTCACCTGCCCCGTGTGCCTGGACTTGTACCGCGACCCACACTTGCTTCCTTGCGGCCATAACTTCTGCAAGAACTGCCTCAACCGCTTAAGGCGACAAGCGGATCGAGGTCGCTTCCGCTGCCCCGAGTGCCGCGACAGCCACCGCTGTGGCCTCAACTTTCAGAAAAACTTCAAACTAGCCAATATTGCCGACGACTACCGGCACCGGCGCAGCGCCACCACTGCGGCTGCTGCAGCTGCAGCTTCAAAATCCAGAGAGCTGCTGTCCTCTAGTCTTTCAGTGCAGCAAGGCAAGAGTGTGTTTGCTGTTCCCTGCGACTACTGCCCCGCAGCGGCTGCAGAGGCATCGGGCGTCAGCGTTGTGGACGACATGTATTCTGCTGCTTCAGGATCTGTGGAGGTGACGGAGAAGCAGGAAGCCGCCTCCGGGTCGATGTTTGCCGTCAAGACGTGCCTGAAGTGTGAGGTGTCGATGTGCCAGGAGCACGTGAAGCCACATCTGGAGCTGCCGGCGTTTCGAGAGCATCCGCTGACTGAACCCATGAACGACTTGTGGAAGAGGAAGTGCCCGGATCACGATGAGATATACAGGTAGGAGGCAGGAGCACACATTCTTAAGAGAAACTGATAAATGATCCATGGACAAAGTTTGTCTTTTGTTATATTTAATAAAGTAATAAAGAAAGTTTATATACAATTGAAATCGATCTCAAATGCAGGAACAGAGCAACTTCATCCTCAGAGGATAGAGAAGTTCTGCACCCAGAACACAGCTTACAGTCACACCATATAGTAGAGAGAATAGCCAACTGGTCCCACCCTTAAATTCTCTTAGGCATCATCTTAACATCCCCACCATTAAACCATTAAGCCCCCCAGTCCTTTAACCATTTGCTAATCCACCTTTTACCCTTCCTGAAATGTAAATCCTAAACATATGTCTAGTACAAGACATAATATATATATTTTAAATGATTATATGAAAATTTGACACAACAGTCATATTTTAAAGATATTTAGTTGTTACCACTTTTGAAGAAAGCTGCCCTTTCTTTAGCAAGCACAGCTGTGTTTACAGATGATCAGTCATTTGAAAGGTTTATCTGAGTTCTGTTTTTATTTGGTGGGAAACTCCAGGTATTACTGCATGGATGACAAGATGTGTGTGTGCAACGCCTGCACCATAGAAGGAGGACACTCGGGACACAAAATCAAGACCCTGAAGAACACCATGAAAGATCTCAAGGTACACCTTTTATTATCATCATGGCTTTTTCACAGGTTAGATTTAGTCATTTTTATTATTATTTTGGTGATAATTAAGGCAACTTTCACATCTTTTAAGTTGCTTTGGAAAGCCCTATATTTTACCTCGTTACATTATAAGGCTAACAAACCACATGGTCTACATTTTCAGTATCCCAACCTTCTAAATGTTTGGCTCACACACACTTGTGCTGAGTCTGGAAACCTGTGGAATGAATATGGACAACTTCTGTGTGTGTGTGTGTGTGTGTGTGGCTATGTGTGTGTGAATGAAAGAGTCACATGACCTTGTGGTCTTTCTATAGGAGAGTTAAGTCCACTTAACCTCTGCCTCCATTCTCCTGAACAGAGTGTAACGCTGAGAGGCTTCCAGTTCACTGCGCTGGATGTCCAGTCCAGAAACCTGTTGAATTTAACATGTGGCATGACACAGAACTGACCCCAAATCAGTGTCATTTCCAGAAAATGTTCCTTGTGTTGGCAGCGAATGGACTTAATTAATACAACAGTGGAATAGACTCCTCGGTTTCTTTGTACAGACAGTGTTTTTAATAACAATTCATGACAATGTCTTAGATCGGATATTATTGGATATTTCAATGGGTTCTAGGTCTTCTTTGGACTTTAAAAAGCCATTATAAGCAGCAGTGAAAGTACTTTCCATTGGCATTGTAGTTTGCGATCAGACCGACAGACTTGTGTTTAAATTGTTTAAATCTATTGTGACTTTATTATCACTTTGCGTCGTCATGGTCACCAGGGCGCGCTGGATAAACAGATGTACAGGGTGGAGAGGAAGTACAGCATGGCAGAGAAAAAACTCCAGGAGCAGAAGGAGAAGGAGAGACAGAATAAGGTGAGATGGCTCATAGTTTTATTTCCACAGGGCTAACATTAAAAACAGTTGAATATTCGACTGTGTGTGATCTCTCCTCACACTGACCCATTTTATCTATGATGTTATAATGTCTTTGTGATCACTATTAACAGTGTACAGAGTAGACACTCCTAATACTTCCTGACACAGACAAAAATAAGTTATCTCAGAAGGGTTCAGTATCTGATAATAAAATTGGGCTCCAGCTAACAATTAGTTAATTTCATATTGATTAATCTGCTCATTATTTTCTCAAGCAATTGACTAATATTTGGTAACTAAAACATTGCAAAAAAAAAAGAAAAATGCCCATTATATCCGAGAAGCAAAATTGATGCAATCAAATGTCTTGTTCTCGTAAAGAAGCAATATTTTAAGCAATAATTGACTGGTATGTATGTTAGTATGTCTAAACATTTTATATATAGTCTACAGTACAAGCCAATTAAATGCTTGCATTGTATAAAATCGTTTTTTGTGTGTTTATTTGGGATATTATGTTTCAGCACCATGGACAGCCACATTAACACGCTCTGAGTTAAGACCGCGGTCAAGAAAATATGTTTTAAACAATTGCAGTGAAATATTCTTTGCCATCTTTGACATTCTGAAGAAACATTTCTAGTTAACTTGACATAGAAGTCATGAAAGTCTAGTATATTTACATTAAGACGATGATAAATTAATCCGTAATACTTACTCCTCCTCCTCATCACTTCCCTCATGCAGAAGTTTTTGGACGACTCTGAGCAGTGTTTGAACCGGCTGGTTGACGAGATGAAGGCCAAAGTTCTCCGCTTCGTCACCAGACTGCGGGAATGCACGCAAACTCACTGCGACACCAACGGGCCGGCCATCCAGAAGAACATCTCCAGGATCTGCCAGGACCAGGCCCGGCTGCAGGAGGTCCGCTGCGGCCTGGAGAACCTCGTGCACGAGAACGACCCTTTCCGCTTCATCCAGGTGAGCGCTCTACTCTGCCAAGCTGTTCGTTAAAGGTCCCCTATTATACTGTTTTACATCAATATATTATAGGTCTCAGATATATACAGAACACGTCTCTGAAGTGATTGGCTCCAAACACCAAACAGATCATTGCAGCATCCCATAATCCCCTCTGTTTCAGCCCTGTTTCCAAAGTGCTGATTCTCTGTTTGTTACTTTAGAAATCATTATGACATCATAAAGTGGCCAAAATCTGATCAGCTCATTTTCAGACAGGTTTTAATATAAATGGATCAGGACAAAAAGAGAGAATCTTTTTTCTTGAAACTTTCAGAGTCTCTTTACACAGAGGGGACACATGGTGATGTAGAACAGACATGAACAAGGGGATTTTGCATAATAGGTGACCTTTAACATTACTGCCAACCTTTCCCCAAAGTGTACAAATGGACCGTACATTTTAAATGCATGTGTGAATTACAAAGATATCATTTTAAGTTGTCATTTCCTAAAGATTCCAAATCAATGTGCTTGGTGCGGCATTACTAAAACAAGGTCATTTTTATGAAAATATACTTTTGGTATGATTCAGTTTTCAAGCATGTGTTGTTTTCATCTCTTTCTTAGGCTTACAAGACAACAGGAAAGCAGTAAGTGCTGCTTCAATGTTTCCCATGTTCATTATTTTCATTAATGATCATTAGCTGCATATTTTCTAGATTGATTAATTAATATATGTTTATTAACAACGTCCGAAATGCATAGATATTCAGTTTACTGTCATACATCACAGTTTGATTTTAATAGACTAGTGACATTTGAGAAGCTACAACCAGCATGTTTTGCATTTTTGTTTTAAAATGACAAAAAAATCTTTATTTTTTATATTTGATTGAATGAAAACAGAAGCCCTGATCCATGGTGTTTGTGTTCTAGGTGTCGTAAGCAGCTGAGAAAGAACATGTTCTACCCAGAGTACGTGGACATGGAGACGGAGGTCCTCGGAGTGATGATGGAGGAAGAGATGAGGAAATTCCTTGATGAGGAACTACCGTGTCACATTGTCGCCGCCATCAACTCCCTGTGTAAGAACTTCTTCATCTCCTTATGTCACATTATGCTAAACGCTGTCAGCTTTACACGAGCTGTGACAGGCAGTTTTCATTTGTTACAGGCAAGGCAAGTTTATTTATACAGCACCTTTTCAACACAAGGCATTTCAAAGTGCTTTACAACAATGAAAGACATTAAGAGCATAAAACACATTAAAAATCAAAGATAATAAAACATGAATAATAGTTACTAATAGTGTAATTAAAAGCAGCGGCAAAAAGACAGTCTTCAGCCTGGTTTTAGAAGTAGTCAGAGTCGCAGCAGACCTGCAGGTTTCTGGTACTTTGATCCAGATATTTGGCAACACCCCTAACCAAATTCTCACATTCCTCGACCCCTAGTCTTCCCGTGAAATTATAGTTCTTTTCTAGACACTTTTCTAACCTCTTTTATAACATCTTCTCCACTTGTTTAAGAAATGCCACCTTAATGTAATCAGTGGTGGCTCCAGGGTATGGCTGGGGTAGGCTACAGCCATACCAAGAAATGGCTTAGCCCCACCTTAGCCCCACCTTAGCCCCACCTTAAGTAACCCCAAGTAAGCAAAAATAATTAAATTGCACAGACAGCAGCTAGTGAGATTGATTTCAGTGGCCACTTGTCTGGAAATGCCGAAACGGTTTTGTAAACTTTTGTCACGTAGTGATCGTCTTCTCAATAAAACATCTTTGCTAATGTCTTCTGGCCAATCAGAATCACGATAACGGCGTGGTGTTGTTGCAGGAAGTCCCGACGGAGAATACTTTTGCGGAAGAACTACTCTTTATACATCCATGGATACAACATTACGTGTTGATAAGAAATCAACACGTTATGAAATAAGACTCCACGGTTTGATGATTGATAGGTGTGTGGGCTTCCCTTATCCACAATGTAAAGTCATTCACACAGCCTCTTCCCTCTTCTCTCTGGTTCAGCAGGTTCAGCTTTCAGAACAAAGTAACAAAACACAAAAATGGCATTCATTTTTTTTAAATATCTCGTGTACTGTAGTAATAGATGTATTTATTTTCTTCTCAAGAGAATACCAGAATGTGTATTTTATGTTAGTATTTCAAAAAATTGCAGGATTGGCTCCAGGTCGCCCTTTTTATTTACTACAAGACAAATATGCCTTTTTATTTCATACAGTTCAATTTGGATTGAGACAGGGAAATAATCTAAACCTCACGCGTGGCGTTTCACTGTCGGGGGGGGGGGGGGCGATATAGCGTGTATGTAATTACATTGCAAATACTGACTTGAGCCCCACCACTGTATGGGTTAGCCCTACCATAGATTACCCAACAGAAATACTCTGGAGCCGCCACTGGGTGTAATGCAAGTTCAAATGTTCAATGTTTTTGTTTGCATTTTTTAAGAGATGTTCATTTCACTTTATGGTCAATTCCGAGGCTGCCAGTTTTGGTGCTATAACATAATGTTGCATTATACGGAGAGGTGTTGGTGTAATTTGAGTTGGGGAACAAATACATACGTTTGTTAATGTCTGTCCACTCATCAGGTAATCTCTCAGACCTGGAGGAGGAGGAGGAGGGCCAGGAGGAGAACGAGGAAGAGGCCGTTGATGATGACGATGACGACGACGACGACGACGATGACAGCAGCGTGGAGGAGATGAGGAGTGAGGGGGAGGAGGAAGACGAGGAGGAGGAGGAGGAGGAAGACGAGGAGGAGGAAGGACACGACCACAGCGAGGCTTACAGCTTCAGCCCAGGGGAGGAGGAGGACGAGGAGGAAGAAGAAGAGGAGGAAGAAGACGGTGAGGATGACAGGGTTCCCGCGGGGTCTTAAAAAGTCTTGCGTTTGATAATCAGAATTTAAGGACTTAAAAGGTCTTAAATATGATCCAAAAAATAATGAAGATATGATTTAGAAGGTCTTAACCCTCCTGTTGTCTTCGGGTCAAATCTGACCGATTTACTACTTTCATCAATCATAACTTTTTTGTTTTACATTTGATTGCATTAAGGCTTTATGATATCCTTCACAGTAGACATTTGAACACATAAAATGGCTGATCACCACTTTCATTGAATTCTGGATGATTTAGTCAACTTTGTAACACCCATGGTGTTCCCGCCATAAAGAAAAGGAATTGGTAACCATCTGGATCAGATAACACACACACACACACACACACACACACTCTAGATGTGTTCCCCCCCCTTATGTGCCCATCCCCCCATGTGAATCACACCTGACACACACACACACACACATAGAACAATTTGATACATTTCCCGCTCGTATGTGCCCATCCCCCCACATGGATCACACCTGGCACACGCAATACATGTTCAGTGTCTGTTCTTTGTATATTAACTGAAGTGTTTCATGTACACCAGTAGTCTGATACAATATGTACAGTTTGAAAAGGTGTTAAATGAAATTTGGTGATGATTAATGGTTTTTGTGTTAATGTGATAGCAGTTAAAACAGGACAGGTCAAATTTGACCGCGAAAACCAAAGTAAGGGGGGGGGGGAAACGAAGACAATAGGAGGGTTAAGAATGACCGGATTTGAAAGGTACTTCTGTGTTGCGATCGCGTCTAAATGTGTTTTGGGGGAAATGTCCGGGCTGCAAAGTAACCAGTACGGTGAGAGCCTTTCAGTTCCCCCCAACAATCTGTATTGAAATAAATCAACATGGAACCAGTAATCACTAACTTTGCATCCCCCGGCCCCTTATCGGAGAACACCCAGCTAGTAACCTAGCAACCGAGCTAGCTGCAGTCAGAAACTCAGGTATCTTCGAATCTACTTACAAATAAATATGGTGAAGTGTAAGTTCAACAGTATTTGGTTGGAAAACATCTAATTTAGTGCTTGGTTGAAACCAGTGTAGAGGAACGCGTTTGAAGCCCGCCGCACCTTTTGGAAAAAAATGTCGCTTTTTTTTTTTGTTCAAATGTAGCGTTAGCTAGTGCAGCAGCTCCCGCAACAACATCACGGTCCTCTGGGCGATGTTTGGGTCTACGTCAACCCTAAAAGCGGAGGTGCTGTAGACGCTAAATACCGTAGCTAAACACCAATCATACAACAGCAACGATGAAAGATTGTAGCCAAGGGAGCAGAGCTCAGAAGATAGCTCTCGTCTCACACACACACACACACACACACACACACACACACACAGAGACACAACTTTCACATTTACTTTGTAAGTAATTATGGGACGTATTTCTTCTTTCATAGCAATGTTCCCTCATAGTTTCTTGCCGTGAAATAGGTCTTAAATTTTATTCAAAGTGGTCTTAAAAATTCTTAAATTTGAGTTTGTGAAACCTGCAGGAATCCTGGATGATGCCAATGATGGAGAAGAGGAGAACGAGGAAGAGGGAGTTGTTTAACCCAGGATTTGTAAACATATATTTTTACACCGCACTTTGGACTCGAGCAGCAAGCACACTTTGCCTCCTACAATATTCTGAAACGACGCACTGGATGAGCACAGAGCTTCGGTTCAGCTGGATTTTAAAACCAACTCTGCACTGAGAATCTGTGAATGTGGAGCTCAACCCGTTTTGCATACTGCTAAGAACTTAACAAAGGTGCTTTATAGTAGGAGACGTGTACATACAAATGTAAAAGGACAGAATGTGGCTGGAAGGACTCAAACAGAAGGTGGCCAAACCTCAGCATGGATTTTCTACAACTTTGGTTAAAACTTTATGGTGAATTTGCCGAATCAGAATTTGATCTAACCTTTTATCTGTAGATCTTTTGATATGACGACCGGTGCTCAGCAGAGAGAGCTTCTGAAGTTCCTTACATTTAATAAGAATAAGTGTTTGAATTCCTTGAGTTTCTCATTACCATAGAAAGCCTTCTGATCTTTGTAAACAGGACACCATTTGTTAACTGAAGGACAGCGAACATGCAAGGCTAGTAACGAGCTACTTGAATGAGTCCTGCGTGAATATGATTGTTTCATTTATGCTACGGTTACACATTGCAAGCCAAAGAGAGAGAGTGTGTGTGTGTGTGTGTGTGTGTGTGTGTGTGTGTGTGTGTGTGTGTGTGTGTGTGTGTGTGTGTGTGTGTGTGTGTGTGTGTGTGTGTGTGTGTGTGTGTGTGTGTGTGTGTGTGTGTGTGTGTGTGTGTGTGTGTGTGTGTGTGTGTGTGTGTGTGTGTGTGTGTGTGTGTGTGTGTGTGTGTGTGTGTGTGTGTGTGTGTGTGTGTGTGTGTGTGTGTGTGTGTGTGTGTGTGTGTGTGTGTGTGTGTGTGTGTGTGTGTGTGTGTGTGTGTGTGTGTGTGTGTGTGTGTGTGTGTGTGTGTGTGTGTGTGTGTGTGTGTGTGTGTGTGTGTGTGTGTGTGTGTGTGTGTGTGTGTGTGTGTGTGTGTGTGTGTGTGTGTGTGTGTGTGTGTGTGTGTGTGTGTGTGTGTGTGTGTGTGTGTGTGTAAAAATATTTGCTTTTCATAGTTGTGCATTGTTTAAAATGTTCTATGCACAGTTCATACATTACTCCCAAAATATCAGTTTCAGATGATGAGGAATTTTGCACTTTACTACTGAAACATGCTATGTTCGGCCCGAAAATGAATGTCAAAGACTGATTTTAATTTTGATACGGGTGACTTTGAGGGGCCAAAATGAAATGAGATGTATACATATGAATACTAATAAAGCTTATCGAAATGTGCCCAGTTGTTTAGCTGTCTTTTTGTAAATTCATTTTAAGAGCATGATTTAACTTTAATTTTGTGTCTAGAATGGCAGAAAAGAAGGGGGTTAAAGATACATAATCTATATTTAACTTAACTACATTTTAGAAGTTAATAAGACTGAATTTCATTACTGATATTAATGAAAAAGAAACATGATGTGAGCAGTAGTAGAACAATGCAAAAAAGTATTACTTTATAATGACCATAAGACATTTTGAGAAAGCATTAATAAATAGAATTTTAGCATAAATAAAAATATTTATGATTACATAACTTTAAATCCACAGTTTGAGTCTGAAATCAGGCAATCATAGTTTTGAAAAAAAAAATATTTTCACTGCCAGCCTTATTTAACAACAACAATGTATCATGCACAAAAAGACAACACATGTAAACAACGCAATGACAGTGAAGCCTAACTGTTTCACAATTTAAACATAATACATACATTAACAAGTCAATATATATTACAGCATATGACGTGATTCCCCAAATAAAGCAACACAAAATCGAGTCCGAACGTGATTCCTGTCCCGGAACCTTCGTTCTGGACACAAATACGGACGGACTCATTTCCGGTGCACACTTCCGGTAGCAGCATATCATGTGTTTTGAACGTTTTTAACAAACATTTAATGTAAGCAAACATCAAGCGTGTGTTGTCTTTTAACACAGACATAAGGAGGTCGAGCTATGAACGCGGTCTTTCGAAAGGTAACTCTATTATATTATTATTTTTGTATGTTCTCCGCTAAATGTTGAGTTTATTCACAGAGGTCATAGCTGCAGCTCTGATACTGTCAGCTCAGTTTTGTTGTTTCTGACTGTTACATTAACATTAATTCCATATCAAACCAGGGTTAACATTCACTGTTTTGCACGGGTATGTTTGTGAGCTTTTGTGCAGATTTAACTTGAATTACCGGGTGTTTTTCTCTCGATTAATCATCCTGAGCACAAGTTCGATTAACCCTCCTGTCGCGTTCGTTTATCTTCCCTTATTCTGGTGTCTGTTGTAACCATGGATGTATAATAAGAACGTTGTAACTGCTCTAACATTAACACAACAACCATTAATCAACACAACAACCATTAATCATCATCACTTTTTAATAAATACAATATCAATCTTTAAACAATGTCTCAGACTACTGGTTTACATTCTGCAGTGAATATACAAAGAATAGACACTGAAAATGTTTTCCAAAATGTCCATGGTTGTATAATATCTAGGGTTACCCATTCATTTTTGACCAGGAACACCAATAGTTGTTATAAAGTTGACTAAACCACTCATAATTCAATGAAAGTGGGGATCAGCAGTTTTTTATGTTCAAATGCCTACTATTGAGAATAGCATAAGGCCATGAAGCAATCAAATGTAAAACACAAGATTTATGATTGATGTAGTAAATCGGTCAGATTTGACCCGAACACGATAGGAGGGGGTTTGAAATGGCTTTGATATCTCTTCAACCATCAGTAAAAAACTAAAATAAATACAAAACGTTGAAAGTTTGAACCAGTTTGGTAACGTCAAGGGATTATCTAATACAAATTGGTTCATTTAAATCCATTTTTAATGTTCAATTGAACAAGCTGGCCATAGACTACAGCTGAAGAAATACACCCCACAACCATGAATCTGCAATCTGCACTTACCAGGTTACATTGTACATTGTTACATGTAACAATGTACAATGTACAAAAAGCATTTAGCTTTTAACGTGATTTATACAATAATAAAATCTTAATCTAACCAACAGCATATCTATACCAGTACTGGGTAGTATGGTACTACCAGAATACTTTAATACGTAGCATAACAATCATGTGATTTCAGCAAATATTGCCTGTGTGTCTGGCATTAAAACATACCTGGATTTAGGGATTTTGTATTCAAAATGAGTTAAAACTAGAATATAGAGAAGGGTATGTTGTAAATATTGTAGCTGATGATATTATGTTGTCCAGTTGCAGGTGTCTGCCACCCAGCAGGCCTTTGTGTTGAATCAAGCACTAACAACATGCAGGTAAGTCTTTTCAAATTCTCATACCTCAAATGTAATGGCTGTGATCATTCATAACAACATTCGTAGATCCTAAGCTCACATAAACCCTTTTTTATTTTACCCTTAGACTTCAAACTTTTCCTTTCAACTTGTGTCATTATTTTGTTGCCATGTTTGTTGGTTATGGTCACATTTGATGCACTTAAGTAACTGCTGAGATTTAGTTAGGTGGCGACATCTACGCCAAACATCTCAACAAAAGTGGGGTCAGATAATCTGATTAAATTATAAGTAAATCAGAAGTTAAAAACAAATATCTAAGCCACCTAATTTGGCAGGAATCACCAATATAAGAAATGGAAAAATACTTATAAAATAAGAATCTAAAGTTATACTAAAAGGCAACTATCCAATTTGTTGCAGGTGTACAACCATCAGTTGTTATTTCTATCATCTTGTTATTTCTAAGAACGGTGATATGATCCCTTTCTTTAAATCGAATACCGTTTTCTAACTAATACTTGTGTGATTACAGAGCGACGCCATCCATCCAGCATCCTGTTTGGGGTGAGTATTTCAAAGACTACAATGAATACAACACTTAGTATGTAGAAAACGCTATTTTTGATAAACTAAGTCATTTGTCCACACGTGTTTACAGAATATGTATTAAATTGACGTTTGTTCATCCTCAGCTTCTGTAAACGAGAGACAATATAAATCCATGCCCACCCACGGGATCGGGAGGTGGAGACATCTTTTACCCAAAGATCCGGTAAGACTCTTTAAACTGGATTTCATTTTTTAGAAAGAATAGTTTTAGCCTCTAATTGAGATGTAGGTGCATGCATGAGATCATTCAGAATAGTTTCCAGAAACCCAGACCTTTCATGTAAGGCTGTAAGAAAATAACTTCTAATGGCAGGTTCTTTTTTGTTGTCGTTTGAAAAATGACATTATATATATATATGCAAGAATCAGAAATCCTTTATTCGTGGACATTGTTACAGCAGAAGTGAAGATAGAAAATAAAACACTATTAGATACAGGGCATGCACATAATAGTTGAAATACAAAAGGGAAAGTTATTCCAATTTACATATTGCACACAAGTGTTATACTTCCTTCAAGCATGGAGCATTGTAATTACATCGCACACATTTTGAACAGCCAACGCTGATGAATGGACAAGGAAAACATAGACTGAAAATAGTATCACAGATAAATATTTGACATAAAACTGACTAACTGACACTCAAAACTCCTATTTTTTTATATTTGGGACGAGAGTAGTTATGGTGAAGTTTTAGATTTTCACTTACAAATGTATAAGTATAAAGTGTAAAACATGAGATCGTGAGGAAACATGAATTGATTTACGAGATTTCCTGCTGATGGTAAATGCTACTTTTTTCCTCAAAGATCCATTGAAATGTAATTGTTTACATGCAATAGTATAAAAAAGAAGAAAATAATACAAACACCAAACTTTATTTATCAAAGACTTTTTTTGGGGGGCAAATTGTAAATGTATGTCCTAGCTTAATTTAGTGGTAGGTCAAAAGGAAATAGTGAATGTATAGAGCGCCCACTGCTGGACCTAAAAGGCAAATTACTTCAACTATCTATTAGGCTGTGCATTCTGAATAGATCATCACAGTTTACTCAAATGTTTATCCTACTCTTCAGTGTGTTTGATCTGCATAAGGTTGAAAAACAACTGCATTTTAAATGTCTGCTGTAATGAGTTTTTGTTGTTTTCAGCCAAAGAAGAAGAGGGACAGGCCGCAGATGAAGGAGATCGTCGTGGAGACGGAGACGACGTACGCCACTCTGAACGTCAACGTGTCGGGTTACGACATGACGATGGTGGAGCATTTCTCCCAGCACATCCACAACCTCTGCAACCGGCTGGGCATCAAAGTGTTGGACTGGTGAGGACATTCAGGAAGATATAACTGTGTGTGTACTGTGTTCATTTAGGATGATAACATATGAATCTAGCATGGATGTTGCTTATAAATGATGTAGTTAAATCTGGTATTTTACCATTTATCATTGACACTGGGCTTTTTGTTTTCTATAGTTTAGTGAAATCATATTTAGTGTGATTTATATTATTGTTGTTCATATATATAAACCATTTGAATGAACCACTTGGAGCAATAAAAGCCTTCATCAGAATAAACTTGAGGCTTCTAGGAGATCTTTTTTTGGAGTAGTTTATTTGAAAGCACGTAAAAATACAAAGTTTTGTTTTGTATATTTATAAAATAGCAAAGTATTCTATCCCTAACAAAAACTTACAAGCCATAAACACATTTTTCCAATTGTAATCCAGTCATTCAAGTTGAATCTTCAATTGTAAAGCACAAAAGTATGTTTACAATAGAAAGATGCCTTAAATATATATATTTATTTTATTGTTTTTCTCACGCAGCTATGCTTTGCAAACCAAGACCACCGAGGTCTGGCTGATGCAGGAGCAAGGCACCAAGATGTCTGTGGACTCCTTCCTGAAGACTCACAACCGAGTCGTGCAGGTACAACTCTTCAGGTTTCCTTTTCACTCAAGTAATGCATGCCTTGTTTTTTTAAAAGTATTTTCAAATCTGACAATTGAACTGTGTTTTTTGTTTGTCTTTCTAGTTAAGAAGTCTGAACGCCACCATGTGTCCTATTTTCCTGGAGGTTCTTTTGAAGAATCAACCAGAGGGAGTGCAGCTCTCTGTGCAGGAGGTGAGTTACAGTCACATTATACTGAAGCTATGCTGGAAATAATGTGGAAAATTAGACACATGTATATCTAAATAGCTTTTCTTAGTCAAACAAAAAATCCCAAATAGGAATTAATAAATTACATCTAATCTTATTTTAAATAGCTCTAGAAATGTTTTGATTTTCAGATTTTCCTAATTTCACTGTAGGCAAATTGACATTGTAGGACTGTTTGTTCAATTATTTTATTTTAGAAGATAAAAAACAAAGCCCAAACCATTATAAAACAGACTTAAACTCATATTAAATAAGAACCCAGATGAAACACCTCATCATTATGCATACCCCTAACCAACACAAGTCTTCATTATGCAGTCAAACACATCTTAATTATTTTTTAAAACTTTATTAGTCAAGAGTGATTTACAATCCTTTAAGGCACTTATTTGAGTCAATAACATTGAATGGTGCAAATACAGTATAGATAAAAAAAACAAAAAAACAGTTGGCATTTTACAAAAAACAAATCAAAACAATCATTAACAGAGTAAGGGTCTATTCAAGGAACATAAATAAGGAGAAAGGTTTCTGGGAATTCTTTGCTTTTTGTAATGAAGTGACTTCCATCCATTGATGCAGGGCTTACCCTTCGGTCAGAGACAAACACTTTAACCACAAATATCTGTCATGGACACCCGTTATCTCCCACTAATGATCTCTCTTTCTGTTTCCTCTCAGCACACAGAGGTGGATTACAAAGCTCGCTTCAAGGGCCGTCCTGAACTCGAGGGTCTCAAGGCGAAGATCGCCTAATAGGACCCCAGACTCACCTTCTCCACTTTCACTTTCCTGACTCCTTAAACTGTTCGTCACTCACATGTTAGATCTGGTTACCTGTGTTTAATTGTTTGTATTTATTCACTGCTGTTTAAGGTGATCATTTGCATAAAAAAAGAACTGTACACATTCATGTTTGACTTTCTTTTGTGACAATTTGAAGACATTAAAACCAAGTCTAATTTTTACAACGCAAGACATTGTCCTATTTATTGCTCCAATTCTGTTACTTTGTTTTTTTTAACATTTCAACGACATACATTTTTTTGGCACTAAAGAACCAAACCAACAAAAAAACTTCACTCTCTTCATTAGTCATACAAATCTAACATATCAAAAGTCACGGACTCTTTCTCTCATTTCTTTGATGAATTATTCTACTCTCAAAAGCTTTAGAACTGCGATAGATAAAAAAAAGTATTTCAACATTATAATATCTGTTTTTTGAACTGGACATACATTGGGTTTGCATCACCTATTTGGCTAAGAGTAAAATACTATTTCAAAGAAAGAAATTAAACATGAAAAGAAAGATATACACATGTCTAATACGTGTAATGTGTAGTTGTAAAGCGCTTTGAGTGCCTTGAAAAACGCTCTAATAAAACATGTAATTAATTATTATTATTAATATATGAAAAAATATATAAAAAAATAAAATAAGTCTTATGACTTTCAGGATTTCACAAATCCACAAATAAATCACAAAAATAGGTGCTTTTTAAAAGAGTTTAAGGAGCAACATATCGTCACTCTGGTCTTCTGAGTGCTGATATTAAGCTGTTCTGTGGCACTGATTTTCACAGCAGATGCTTCAATCGTCGATAACAATACGACCTTTTATTTTCCCATACTTCATCCTGATCCCTGTAGCTCAGAAACAGGAAACCCCCCCCCACTCTTCATCCCCCTCACATCGTAGGTCTGAGAGATCACCTTATTTTCCTTGAGTTAATCCAGGAAAGGTCCTTTAACGCTCGATCAGAGCTGCCTGATGACGACCCACAAAATGCTGATGTGACGCAGGGGAAAAAGGCAAAGAAAATTAACACTGAAAAGTAGAATTTCCAGTTATGTGTTAAATTCTTCAAGGAACTGAGAAAGTGATGAAGAGCAAGGTAGCAATAGTGTTTGAAGTCATCTGATATCCCTTATCAATCCAACGTCTTTCTCGTCTTACCTTGTTAATGATCAGCGCTTTGATTTTGGTAGTCTCCTGAAAAAAAATAAGTCACAATGCTGGTTGTTTTTTATTCTTTACATTGAATTCACAACACATATGGCATTAGATTATGCATATTAAGCTAAAGAGTACAATGTGGCTGCAAATCAATTGCAAAAAACTCTGACCTTTATGAATGGTACAGGTCCAGGGAGTCTCTTTCCCACTTTGAAGCCTGAGGGTGAAGTCGCTGTCGGCGTTTCTGATCAACACCTCAAAGAAAATGCTTTCATATCTGAGCTCTCGGGCCTGTGAAAAAAAATGGGGATTCCAAACTTTTTATTGCTGTAATTCTTTTCTATTTTAAGGATGTTCCCTTGATACATTCTCCACGTTTAACGCTTTTTAAACAGTGAAATTAAAAAGTGATTGAAACATACGCTGGGTTGAATGATTGCATCTGCCTGGTCTGTTGTGAGGGACACATGCTCTCCCATTTGCATGGACTTGTCTGGACCTGGGTTTAGGATTAGTATTGATCCAGAAGACTTTTGCTTTTCTTCCACTTCCTGTAAAAAGAATTGAAAAAATATGTTCAAAAATCTTCAAAGTAGGCAAGTAGGTGTTCTTTCAATGCTGATTTCTCTAGCTAATGGAGAAGTTAATATGTTGTCTTACTGTTTGATTGAACAAAACAGACACCTGTCGTAGAGCAGAATGGCGCGGCACCACATAAACTTCCAACGTGAGGAACTCTTTGTTCGTCTTGTATATCAACACGTCGTAGTAAAACTGGATTCCCGCCATCTTTCGGATCATGACCCCCCTTGGAGGGAAGGTTGGCTGGAGAAACTTGATGTGGGACGATGTCACTTTAGCTACTTCTTCCACAACATCACAGCAGGGATCCACGTGAAGAACCGCAAACTGGCCAGAAAATGCAGAGTTTTGATCTACAAAGTACAAAATAAATGAGTGATGATGAAGTATATGCTGAATCAAAGTGATTATAGTCCTTTCCCACGACATGAACACTCACCGATACAGACCCTGTGTGGCAGATGCACTTCTTCTATCTCCCCAGATGTGACTGTGATGTCCATGAGGGGTCCTGCTGGCATGTAATCCTTACAAACTGGACTCCTCATGTGTTCCTCCCATGAGAGGAACTTGTATTTGAAGCTGATTTCTTCCTTACACACCCAGCGCAGGCCAGACACACTGCATTCATAGTTGCCTGCATCAGACTGGAGGCTATTTTTAGGGAAAAACATAGTAGATTTTCAGCCCAATTTGCACCATTACTAGTTTAAAGGTCCCCTATTATACTGTTTTTCATCAATATATTATAGATCTCAGATATATACAAAACATGTCTCTGAAGTGTTTGGCTCCAAACACCAAACAGATCATTGCAGCATCCCATAATCCCCTCTGTTTCAGCCCTGTTTCAAACGTGCTGATTCTCTGTCTGTTACTTTAGATGAAAATAAGGAGAGAAATATGATATTTGGTTACAAAGAACACAATGGTGCTCTAGGAGGGGATTCAGGTGATAAGGTGGGGGGGGGGGGGTTACCTTGGTTGGTGATTGGCTAATGGTTACACAAGCCAAAAAATCGTTATGACATCATAAAGTGGCCAAAATCTGATCAGCTCATTTTCAGAGAGGTTTTTATATAAATGGATCAGGACAAAAAGAGAGAGAATCTTTTTTTCCTGAAACTTTCAGAATCTCTTTACACAGAGGGGACACATGTTGATGTAGAAGAGACATGAAAAAGTGGATTTTGCATAATAGGTGACCTTTAAAACATTGCTGTACTTCCTTAAAGGGACCTCCAAAAACAACATATTTGTCGTCTTAGCTGTAGTAGTAGTTCTATTTATCAATACAAATTGTTGTTTTGGGTTTATTTGCAGAATGTTGGAGATATCAGCTTTAGAAACATCTACTTTCTCTTGGATATAGTCAAATGTGATGGCACTCGCCCACTTCTGCGTAATAATACTCTAGAAAGAAAATAGTTCCTAAGTGAAACTGCTTACAACAAGGTGTGAGTTACCAGTTGATTAATAGCACTAAAACTAAGAAGAAAGTGTATTTATGATTCGGGGGATTAACCCTTTTCCATTAATGTGAGGTCAGTGCAGTGTAATGGGTTACTGTACTGAAGAGGCAATCCTTACCTAAAGGTTTGAACCTCATCCACTCGGTTGACTTCAGGTTTAAGTTTTGTCAAATCCCTGGCATCCTGTTTTCAGAAGGGAACATTTTTTATGAGCAGTCATGGTTGTTGGAAAAGCTATTTAAATTAAAATATATAAACAAATAAAGAAAACGTACCATTTCATCGCAACAAGCTTCAAACTTCAACAACCCACAAGGCCGTGGTTTGGAGGAATCCATCTCTGAGAGTGTTTCTGCCACACAGCACAATGCAATATGATTTCATTAGTGTTGAACACCGCAATGACAATGACCTTTGTCACCAAAGAACACATCAAATATGAAGTGACCATGACTTTATTTGTATGAATTTATAATGATGTAGAGCAGGGGTTTTCAAAGTGTGGGAAGGTGAGCCTCCCCTCAGAGAATATAAGAACAGCCGCGCCCCCCCTCCCAATTATTATTGCTATTATTATTATTATTATTGTTGTTGCTATAATGCAGGGGTATTATTATCCAGTGGAATGCCCTTACCTACTGGCCTAGTTAAATCAAAGTGGTTACTTATTTTTGTCTGGGCAGTGTAGTTTTACACACCATCTTATTTGACTTTCTCAGGGCAGACCCCCACAAAGAAAAAAATATATGTACACACGTAAGGTCATCATCTTAACAGTTTTTAATGCTCGAGTCATCCGTGAGCAGAGCATCAAGTTGGCATGCCTATTACAGCTGAATGCGGCGATTACCATCTTGTTCAGCAAAACGCCTCACAAACGTATTAACATCCAAAGCTTTAGTGCGTTTTGATTCAATGCTGAGCACAGCCAAACTTGACAGTCTCTTCTCTGTCATTGTAGACCGCAAATACCTTATTCCTTCCGTGTACTTGGGTCCGAATGCTTCTCGTTTTCTTCCGCCCGTTCAAATGAAATCGCCGCCAATCACATTTCCTCGCTCGCGCCAGGGTTACAAGGCTCGCGTCTTGTGCTGCATTCACTTGCACTCGGACATCAGGGATTTTCTCTGATAAATGTCCGATGAGCCACAACTTTTATTTCAAAACAAAGCTGCCAACTGGGGTGGCCAGACGCTGTCTCCTCTCTCACTTTAGGTAACTTCACTAAAAATCGATCCATGTTGCCGCTCGCATAAAGTTAGCTGAAGTTAACGAGCTAGATTTCATTGTTTCTCTTTATTTTTTTCTCACGCTGCGCCTCCCCTGAAGCTCTCTGGCGCCCCCCAGGGGAGGCGCGCCTCACACTTTGAAAACCGCTGATGTAGAGTACATACAAGCAATGCAATTTGTCAATTTGTTACTGAATGATCAAAATGTTTCCCATGATCATCCATTTTGTTTCATGTTCGAATTATGGGGAATAAGGCCTGGAATTGTATTTCAAATGACCAGATAGGTGTTCAGTTATGCTTGAATTATATTATCTTACCCTTCTTGTCTGCAGTTTCAGTCTGGATGGCAAAGGCTACAGGACCTTTGATGGTGAATCCAAGGTAGAAGGACACCTTGCGTTTTCTCCAGAGGCTGTTTCGGAGGTTTGCATCCACCTCAATCTCTTTCCCCTCAACAGTTGCAAAGAGTCTGTACTCTCGTATCTCCCCTTGAACTTTAAGAAGGCGTTCTTTGACCCATGGATCTTGGAAGATCTTCTCAACGCTCCAATCTTGCATTGTCTCCCAATCGCCCTGAAGAACGGACCCCTCTAGGACCTTTCTGTGAACTATCCTGTTCAGTTCTTGACCTTTTCCGATGAAAAACAGAGGGCGAAGGTATCTTGAGCGAAAGTGTTTCACATATGCTTGTTTATACAGGTCTTGCGTACGCTTAATCATTGCACTGAGGTCAAGGATGCATGTGTCTTCACTGTCTGTAGGCCAGTGCAAGAGGAGGGCTAACATATGGGGCTCAGGTTTATCCGTGAGGATCGGGTACATTTCCTGTTTGAATGCAGTTAAATGTTTGCAATCAGACTCTGTTGCTCCCATATTTCTTAACATGATATGAGCGAAGATGTTGTTGACCATAGCTGTGACCGGATCTTTATGAAGACAGATTTCCTCCCACAATGTAGTTATTTCTTTAAGGTCCGATTCAGTGCATTCTCTGTCAAGACATGAGAGGACTCCCGTAGTGGTGCCAGCCTGTTTGAGTTTAAGTTTCTGGATCAGATCAGCGCCTTTTTCTTTCAAATGGCTGGATGTGGAGTCTCCAACATACTTCCTGTAGCAAGCCGAGGTTTCTCTTGAAATGTATTCTGGATCGTCTTCCTTTATGTCAGGCTTGGAGTAAGTCAGATACCCGTCGAGAAAAGCACATTTTTTCTCAACTGCATCTCTGAGTCTGTTTATGAGACCATTGAATCTTAAAAGTGAGCGATCTCCAAGAGATGGCAGGGCCGAGCCCAAAGACACCTTCTTCGTGAGAACTCCTCTCCAAGTTGGGTTCTGACTGACAAGTAGGTCATACACAAGATTGCAGACCTGCAGGAAACCAAACATCCCTCCGCTGTTAAAGAAACGTGAGACATGGAAATAGCCTTTTATTTTCACCTTTGTCCCAACTTCATCTTCGGCAAGTCTTTCTTCGTCTTCAAAAGCTCTAATGGCCTTTAAGGCAAGAGCCAAAATGCCTCCTGGCTGGGCCGGTCGCCTCAGGGTCTTCAGACGGTTCTTATGGACTTGGCCCAGTGTATCAGCAACAACTGAGTTTTTGGGATCTCTTTGTTTTGCCTCCTTTGCCCACATTTCTGCCTCATCGTAGTCTCTTAGTACTATGCAATGAAAACGAGCAAGTGCTTGTGGAAAAAACGGATTTCGATCAAACATATTTGTTGCCATCCCTAAAAGTGATAGACACTGAGAGTTGTCCTCCTTTGTTTGAATATGTAGAATCAGTCTAGAAAATGAATCTATCTCCTCTTTCATCTCTGTAGGATGTATTGGGTTCTCTTCTCTTCCCTTTTCTTTTTGTTTTGGTCTTCTTTTGGTTAGCATGTATTTGACAAAACCAACCAAAGATCGAGGGACTTTATCTCTGCACAAACATGTCAAGAGGTTTTTCGCTGTGTCACTTCTGGTCACACCTGCATCAGCCATCAGTTCAGTACAACACTGTGCTATCAGAGGGTGGGCCATGCGGACTCTTTTTTCAGAACCATCTAGTTGGATAGTGATAATGAGATGGCTAAAGTCGTCCAGCATGTCTTCCAGTGATATGTTTCTATGACTGTAGTTGGCATGTTTGAACACATCCAGGCACTGAGCCTCAAGGAGATAAGAGTCTGGTACATATGCGTTCAGCAGGGAAAGGAAGGCAGCAAGCTGGGTTTTCTCTTGTATTCCTGTTTCTTTGATGGTTTTGAATACAGAGCACGCCTCCTGGATGTAAGCCTCAGAAAAGTTGCTTTGCATTATGTTAAAGCCATGGAATCGATTGCATTTATCACCATACTTCCTGTTGAGCTCTGACTTTTTGTCATTAAAATGATTCTTCTCTGAGTCAGAAAGCACTTCTTGAAGGAAGACATCATCACTCTTTAAATCTGCATCTTCTCTAATACAACTGAGTAAAACCACCACAGGCATACGGGTGACTATCTTCTGATTAGCAATCGCCCTGATAATGCTTACTTGTAGATCTTCCAAAACGTGCACACCATTCACCAACAGCAGCACAGTCTTCTGGTCGCCTTGACTGCCTGCTGTGAAAAGGTGGACCACCTCCTCTGCAACCTTTGTGATGTCCGAGGTTGAGCCTGTTAAAACAGCACTCCTTAAAGTTTTCCTAAAGTCCCACAACACCTTCATGGCCAGTGTTGTCCCCCCACATCCTGGCTGGTGGAACAGTTTGACTGTTGATATTCCAGGGTGTTTTCTCAACTTGTGAATTTGATCCACAAGTTTATCGTATCCATCTCGTTTAATGAAAGGAGATCCGGTGCCATCTAACTCTGCCTGTTCACTGATGTGAAAGTTTAACCATTCGGGTGGGGCCCCTCTGTAAAAGTTTTCCTCCGTCTCCTCAAGTATTTCTGGATCTAAAGACTTTCCTTCAAACTGATTTGCATGGGGAACGTCCAACAGTGAGAGGGAGCGTGTGACAGTGGACAGGGACGGTCCATTCGCCATCTTGGACTCTTAGTTTCCTGCAGCAACGGTATACACACAGATTGTAAATCACCTTAACCTTTTTATAAATATATATATATACATTTAAAACCATAAATACATACACACACATATAGGGATGGGTATCGTTAAGGTTGTAATGGTATTACTACTTTTATCGATACCGTTTATCGATCCGGTCCTTTAACGGTACTCTTATCGGTTCTTTTGGAGAAAAAAATGGTAAATTAACTAAACAAATTGTGAACTAAATTAACATTGCTTTTTATTTAAAATAAATAAATAATATTTCACATCAAAAGAAACAGCACCAGGGTTGTTTCATTGTAGCTGAAACTTTAACAAAATAAATAACTCAGTTACCTCTAATCATTAACCCATGTTTGTATAATTTTGTTAACTCTGTGTGTTGCTGCTAGCATATCATACCTCACGTGGAAACGTTACTCGTTGAAGGGGCTGCTACAGAGCTACTAGAAAGACAGTCGAACCCGGTGCATTTCTCCGTCTGAATGTGGTGCACTTTTGCAAGATGTTTAGACAAATTGCTCGTGTTACCACCCTTACATGCTAAATTCTTATTGCACTTTTGGCAACGAGCATTGTCAACATCAGTGGCGTCGCCTGGCCTGGGCATTCGGGGCTTTAGCAGGTACGCATGCGTGGCACAAATCTGAATTGCGTAACGTCACTTGTGCAGAGATGGGGTCGTTACTAAAAAAAAGTAATATATTACATATTACATATTACTTTAAAAAAAAGTAATATATTACACTACTTCGTTACTCTATACATAAAGTAACTCGTTACTTTACTCGTTACTTTACTCGCAGGGCCGGCCCGCCCCTCCCTACAGGCAGATCACACAGACTGCTAAAGTTTCAAATGTTCTCTTTAGTTCAGTTTCCATTGTCGCATAAGACTGATCCAGATAGCTCTGACTATGGCTGTCCTCTTGTCTCCTGCTATCTGTATTTTGCGCAGTATATCTCTGAACGATGCGATGGTGATTCCACTGTGCAAATGGGCAACATTACCTCTACTATGAAGGATGCTACAAGCCTGTCCATCTCTGCTTTGGTTACCGGTCCTCCAAATTCTAATTTGTGCCGCTTCAGAGTCGGCGGCGGCGCACTCACAACATCCTCACGCTGGGTTCGGGGGTCCGGTCCTTAGCTATTAGCTTCACCTTAGCATGTGTTCTTTGCAGGTGTTTGTTGAGGTTTGACGTGGTGTTTGCAGCAGTGTATAACAGCTTCTGGCCTGGACACAGTTTGCACCTCACCGTCACATTCCTGTCTATTCTTCGGACGAACTCAAAATAATGGGCATACCTCCACCCCTCGAAAGTTATCGCTGACTCTGCCATGTTTATGCAGCACTGCACGTGGAAATGTGGACGCGCAAGTCGCGCAGATTACGTACATATAAACCTGCGGCGGAAACCCCTCTTGTCTGTCAGTGTGATTATGACGGATTTTATAAAAGTAACGAAGTAACGCGTGTCGGGGCAATGTTAGTAACTGTAGTGTGATTACTGAATTATAAAAGTAACGCGTTACACTACTCCGTTACCGACAAAAGTAATATTATTACGTTACACCCAACTCTGCACTTGTGTCACTACGCGCCTTTGCGTACCTCAAAACATAAAAACAAAACACATATTTCGTCCACACGTGTTTCTTGTCAACACTCAATGGAGTAAACTACGAGACATGTCAAAAAACCAAAGACATTAAGCAGCTACGTTGCCGTTTCGCTCCCTGCAAACAATCTCAGGACTTTATTGGACTGATTGAACTGGGTGCTAGCCGAGCCGCGCAGGACATAACCGACGGACCTGTGAAGCTTTACAGGGGGCAGAGGCTTAGATCACTGGACGACAGAGTTGTTCACCGTGTGCACAGACAGGGTTAACGTCGGTATGAACAACAGAATTGTGCCAAAACTCCGCCAACTGGCTGCAGTGGGATACTCCCCTGTGCACATTCTGTGCCCCGCGCACACACTGGAGAGCTGCGCAAAATCAGCTGATCACAACGTGCACGCTCTGTGGTCAAGCTGCTGCAGTTTTATTTACAACAAACTTACTCAGGGTGTTAATGGAAGAGTTTGAAATCAGACAGAGGTGGAAGAAGTACTCAGATCTTGTGTAGGAATACTCTGTTACAGTAAAAGTCCTGCATTCAAAATGTTACTCAAGTAAAATTTGAAAAGTCTTATCAAAATATAGTTAAAGTACCAAAAGTAGTCATGAGCCGCTTTCACACCAAGTACTTTGCCGTACTTAATGCCGGCACTTAGTACCCCAGGGCACTAAGTACCAATCGCGTTCACACCGGAATAAGTTCCCTGAGGGAAGATTACGCAAATGAGCCGCTGACGTCACTTCGTCTTCTTCTGCTTTGGGTTTACTGGCAGGCCGCAAACAACTTCACGGCGTATACTGCCGCCGGAAGTCCCCGGCCGGAAGTCCCCGGCCGGAAGTCCAGTAGAAGACTGGCTTCAGTAGAAGCTGCTGGGACTCCCAGCAGCTTCTACTGAAGCCTTCCGAGTAAATCAGAACGCCGACACCTCCTCATCACTCCACCGCTCCCATGTTTTTTTTTGTGTTGTGTAAGAAATTAAAATCAATGTTGATATGGCGTAATTTAAATTAAATATAGGATTTTAATTTAAAGCAGTTTGATTCTGAAAAAAACGTAAGTTCACACTAACTATTAAAGGTGGGGTAGGTAAGTTTGAGAAACCGGCTCGAGATACACTTTTTGTTATATTCCATGGAATGCTCTTAACATCCCGATAGCAATGAATATTTTAAGTGCTTTGACAAAAAATCCATACAAAATGTCATCTGTGGAAGCTGTAGTACTGTAAAAAGCACGACCAATCATTTTAGCCGGCCCGGCTAAAATAACTGGATGGCCTACCTGCCTGTCAGCCTTCCATCTGTGCACAAACTTATCTCGTGCCCTCATTGGTCATGTGCGCGTTCGTGTGTGTTGGAGGAGGGGCTCTGTAAGGAAGTGGCAGATTTTTTCCGGCTGTGTATTTTCAAATTCTAGCGATCTCGAGCTGGTTTCTCCAAAATTACCTACCCCACCTTTAACTTATACATATATATATATATAGGAATATACACTAAAGGTGTGGAAATTCTCTCGCGTTATAATATCAGCGCGGCCTCGGTCAGATCAAAATGCCTCCGAATGCAATTTGAATAGACCTACCTATCAGAGCAACGAAACGTTGGGTCTGCGTCATGCCTTACTGATTGAGATCAGTCGGAACCGCCATTCAGTATCCCGTATTAGTATTCAGCATTCAGGATCTTCAACGTGTATTATCATACGTCACGTTCACAGTGATCCCTTTTTATTTACTACAAGACAAATGTGCCGTTTTATTTCATATAGTTCAATTTTGATTGAGACAGGGAAATAATCTAAACCTCACGCGTGGCGTTAATCTGTCTAGGGGGGCGATATAGCGTATGTAATTGCATTGCATATACTGATTTGAGCCCCACCACTGTATGGGTTAGCCCTACCATAGATTACCCAACAAAAATACTCTGGAGCCGCCACTGCATGTAGCAGCCGCGTGTGTGTAAACTGCCCCGCCCCCTCGCACACAGACGGGGGAGAGAGATCTCTCGTCTGGATTGGAAAGATCGAAAATACATCATAGACGCATTTTGTAGTCTTATTGTATGTAAGAGAAACGGAGTTGGCAAAACTAAAACTGCAATATAATGTTCATGTAGCAATAATACATATGACATATATTTTTTTAATTTCTCCAGTAGGCCTACCGATAAAAATACAGATAACGTCGGAGCTTAACTCCGGTACCACGGTCTTTAATAATTCAGCCCCGGGGCCCGTTTAATACCAGGGCTCGGTACCCATCCCTACACACATATATATATTTTCAGTAGCATTTAAAACGTATGTGCCCAAGATGCTCCAAATGATGAAGTAAATGAATACATGTATACATAAATTAAATAGTAAATGTTAAATATACAAACAATATAACATACTTGTCTTACCTTTCCCCATACGATCCAGATGTCTCTGAAGTGTGAACATACCGTGCCACTGGTGACTATGTACTGTAGTCTTATGTAATGGAAGTTAAGATAACAACATGACACACACAGTGTGTGTGTGTGTGTGTGTGTGTGTGTGTGTGTGTGTGTGTGTGTGTGTGTGTGTGTGTGTGTGTGTGTGTGTGTGTGTGTTTGCAAACAAGCGCTGTAAAGATGTGATGTTGGACCTTTTGTGGAGAAAAGGAAACCTACTACTACATTGCAGTTTCCTTTTCTCCACAAACGAAACCTAACAATGCATCCTTTCACTTACAAATTATTCCTGTGACGATTTTAAACTGTCAATATTTCTCCAGAGCAGGATTAAATATTTGTTTTGGACTAAAGGCTTTGCATGGAAACGTTACAACAGTCATTTACAACAAAATTAGATTGCAAAATGGAGCTAATGTTTAACTATGTTTTGTAAAGATTAATCTGTGTGATGCGAGAAGAGCCCATCACAATTAATTAGGGTCCAACGTGACATCTTTACAACGCTTGTTTTGTCCAACAACTTTTTGACAGGGTATTTATGGATATAATTATTAAATATAATGAATTCATTTGAGGAGCTGGAACCATGTTATATGTACGTTTTTACCTGAAACATGAAAAAAGATCATCAAAATACTTTCCTATTCCTTTTTTTCAATTTGCAAATTGATTAACCATTAAAACAGAGGATAGAACAAGGCCCATATCTAAGCACTGAACAATTGTTTTAATACTTTGAAAAGGGATTGTATTACTCATTTTGGATATCATGCTCTTGTTCCTATGGGGCTGAAATCTCAATGTCATAATATGTCATACAAAAATAAACAAATTAACCTCTCAAACGTCTTTGAAAGAAAGCAACTACACATGATATATTGGTTAGCAAATATATTTTAATATATAATATTTATATTCATTTTAGCACAATGACAAAATGGCATAATTTCAGTTCAGTCTCATTTAAATCATGACAAAAAGCCACACCTTTATATCTGTTTGAATAATACATCATATCATAATTTGTTGCAGTCTTTTGCAAAATCACACCTTTAAGTACTTCTTGCCCCATGAGAGGAAAAACCTTAGCAGAAGTTTCTAACAGCATTGAGCCTATGGCATCCAACAGGATTATGTTATGAGCTGTATGTAAACATGATGTAATGGCGCTCTTCACTGCATCGTTAAGAAGTGTCACATCCTCCAAACCCATCACTGAGAACTGGATAAATTCATTGTCTTAAACCAAATTCAAATGTGTCGCATTGTCCAACAGCCATAAATGTAGATTAATTATTTAAGAGCAATAAATCTTGACTGGATTGACGCACCTGTCACTTGCTACACTGTTTGAGAAAGAGGCACATCACAAAATAACAGGCAGAATATGAGAGAACACACACACACACACACACACACACACACACACACACACACACACGCACACGCACACGCACACACACACACACACACACACACACACACACACACACACACACACACACACACACACACACACACACACACACAAAACTGTCAAAAGTAAAGTTTTGAGCTGAAAAACAAGAGACAATTTAAAAACCTGCAGGTGCAATCCTTCCTAAAAGGTATTGAGATAATGTGAACCAACAAATGTAGACTTGTTAATCCTGTCTGATGTTTCTGTCCCTTGCCCTACATCCCCTCCCATGCTGAGTCACATTTATAGACGCCTATAAACTTAAACAACACCACAGTAAAGGTAATTAATTAAACCTCCAGTAACAAAGTTCAGATTACATCTAAAAATAGCCTCCATAGTCCACGCACACACTTCAGAACATCCCAGCCACAAGCGTTAATGTGAGTCAGAGATTAAGATTGTTCACTACAAACATTATGAGACATTGTTTAAGGGGATGAAGCTTTTCCTCCTAAATCAGATATGCTTAGCAAGTCTAAATGAAATGCTCATTGAAACTATGGGTATTTGTAAATGTTGATAAGTATGTAAATGTACTTGTAAATATGTTGTATGATATCCTCTATTGTTTTATGTTGTTTTATGTTTCATGTGGAACCTAATTGCTGCAGGTCTCCCTTGAAAAAGAGATCTATGATCTCAAGGGACAATCTGGATAAATAAAGGTAGAAAAAGATAAAATAATATATGTTTCTCACAATAGTTTTTTGTAAGCTGCACACAGGTGATACTGACTCTTCTCGATTAATAGATTAGAAACTATACCATGCTTAAATAGACTCCTAAGTTATTATTTCGTAACATATGTAAGAAAAGGGAGGGAAGAGTCAATTATATTATAATTTATTTTATATTAGGTCACACTCTCCGGGTGCAGAGAGCACCCCCAGCCACCTCCAGGGAAGCACGAGGTCGTTCGAGATGAGAGGGTTCTTCTCTTCAACTTTCTGCTGAGAGGGGGTTCTACTCTTCACCTTTCTGCTCGGTGGGCTTAAGCAGACAACCCTGCAGGACGAGCGAGGGTTTCAGAGGCTTCTATAATACAAGGTTCCATGTTTCTTGGAGCAGTTTGATGTCTTCCTAACCTCTCCTATCACGGGGGGGACACCTGGATGCATCAGGAATACGCAGTTGCACTGCTCTCAACATTGATAGCAGAAGGAATACAGGCAGATGAGCCTCCGTTTCACTGGGGGATCAACTACAGTGCTCATTGAATGGGCCACACAAAAGCAGAGCAATATGAAGGGGTTAAAATATGGCGCTCTGATGAAGAAGAGTTTGAGCCAATCAGAACCTCAGTGCTAATCTACAGTATCAGGATGCCTTTACACACCAGACACTCGGTGTCATAAAGGGAGGAGGAGAATGAGTCAGGAAGACTGACGGACATGTTCTTCCAGCTCTCGTACAAAGATGAACTTTGGATTGAATGACCAGATGTTTACAGATGTACAATTAATGATTGTTTTTTATATTTCCAATGACCAGACATGTCTTTAATAGTGTTGATTAATATATTTCAACCCAGTCTCACGGCATTTCGTGTTATAGTCACGAAATTAATTGAATCTATTAATTCGTGTTCAGTAACACGATTTTTTTTCGTTTCACACAGAACGATTTTAAAAGCAACGTATTTCTATTGGTAGTATGTCTCGTGCCTGCACCACGTCTTTTTGTCTGGTCGGGTCTTGGAAGACCAGAAGCGGTGTGGTTCATAAAAACATTTTCTTACTCAATATCTTACCCTAAACCTAACCCTTTTATTTTAAATTGTATAATGTCTGAGTTTTTTTGCCGTCCGCGAGGAGAAGAAATGGGGCTCAGAGCCTCAGAATACTGAAATCTGTATTTAAAAAAATAAAAAAGTCCTTCTAATTTGCTATTATTTGTTGCAGGCACGAAACATACTACCAATAGAAATACATTGCTTCTAAAATCGTTCTGTGTCAGAATACTGAAATCTGTATTTTTTTAAATCTCTGTTTAAGATTTAAAATGTAATTGTATTAGCTGTAAAATGTCTTTACTGTAGGGTATTTTTACTATATGTACAGCACTTTGGCTCGACCAAAAATCGTTTATAAACGTGCTATATAAATAAAACTTGATTTGATTTGATTTAATTCAAATTTGTTATTATTTACATTGCTTTTAAAATCGTTCTGTGTGACACGAAAGAAATGCGAAAATCATGTTGGTGAACACGAATCAATAGATTAATTTCGTGACTATAACACGAAATGCCGTGAGACTGTGTTGTATATTTTGTCAGATCAGATTACACTTTCGCACTAAACTAAATTAAGTAATTAATATTTTCAGATTAAAAGGTATTGAATAATAAGGTATTTCTACTATTATCACAGATAATGTTAATATCCTTAATCGTCCAGCAATCAGACTTAACAACACTAACTCCTCAATGCATTATCCATGCACGGAAGTGTTGTTTCAAGTACTGGATTAATTTCTGTGTTGGCCCAAAACAAGTATGTATAATTATTAATATAACAGTTATATAGCATATTTGATACTCTAATTAGAGAAGTATAATTTCAAGAAATTGATATTCTATATTCAACATTAGATAAACACAGAAGAACCCTTTTAAGAAGTCTGAACGCCACCATGTGTCCTATTTTCCTGGAGGTTCTTCTGAAGAATCCACCAGAGGGAGTGCAGCTCTCTGTGCAGGAGGTGAGTTACAGTCACATTATACTGAAGCTATGCTGGAAATAATGTGGACATTAGACGCATGTATATCTAAATAGCTCTAGAAATGTCTTGATTTTCCGATTTTCCTAATTTCACTGTAGGCAAATTGACATTGTAGGACTGTTTGTTAAATTATTTTATTTTAGAAGATAAAAAACAAAGCCCAAACCATTATAAAACAGACTTAAACTCATATTAAATAAGACCCCAGATTAAACACCTAATCATTATGCATACCCCTAACCAACACAAGTCTTCATTATGCAGTCAAACACATCTTATTTATGTTTTAAAACTTTATTAATCAAGAGTCATTTACAATCCTTTAAGGCACTTATTTGAGTCAATAACATTGAATGGTGCAAATACAGTATAGATAAAAAAAAACAGTTGGCATCTTACAATAAACAAAACAATCATTAACAGAGTAAGGGTCTATTCAAGGAACATAAATAATTAAAATACATGTAAGGAGAAAAGTTTCTGGGAATTCTTTGCTTTATGTAATGAAGTGACTTGAGTCAGACACAGAGACACACTTTAACCACAAACATCTGTCATGGACACCCGTTATCTCCCACTAATAATCTCTCTTTCTGTTTCCTCTCAGCACACAGAGGTGGATTATAAAGCTCGCTTCAAGGGCCGTCCTGAACTCGAGGGTCTCAAGGCGAAGATCGGCCACTAGGACCCCAGACTCACCTTCTCCACTTTCACTTTCCTGACTCCTTAAACTGTTCGTCACTCACATGTTAGATCTGGTTACCTGTGTTTAATTGTTTGTATTTATTCACTGCTGTTTAAGGTGATCATTTGCATAAAAAAAGAACTGTACACATTCATGTTTGACTTTCTTTTGTGACAATTTGAAGACAATAAAACCAAGTCTAATTTTTACAACGCAAGACATTGTCCTATTTATTGC